CGCGGGCGTGGTAGACACGGGATGGCTGATGCGTTTCGATCTTTGTTTTCGTACCAAGAACCGGTTCGTCCAGTCTCCTTCCCGTCAACTATGTTCCGGGGTCCCGGTAGTGTGGGTTCTTGTCGCTCCTCCGTATCCAAACGCTACCGCCGTATAGTTGTCGATCGGCGCGTATATCCGTTGCGCAATGGAGACCAAAACCTTACTTTACCAGAAGTTTTTGCTCTTCTCAAAGAATCACTGGCACGATCCATCTGAATTTTCGGGGACCAGTGGAGCATTTGTACGCAGGGATGGGCATTTCTGAACCCTCATCAAACCCATGTCGGCCCTCCAGCCCCCTTTTCCCACGCAGTTGGGACCAGCCGCAACATTCTGGGCCATTCTGCTGACACCGATGGTATGGGACGCGCCAATGAGACGGCACAACAACTTTTGAGGGGGAAATCTTCCAGGTTTCAACAGTCTGACTGTTGGTCTTCTGCTTGAGGTCGCCATTTGATCGGATTTGCGACCAATAGTAAGCCACCGTTGGAGAAGCTGAGCGAAGGATTCAACAGTCCCCGTTCCAGACTCTCTCGGTTGCGATGCAGGATACAGGTGGGTGGGCGGTGTCTGACTCGGCGACACTTGGTCCCCAAGAAGAGCTCAATCCGTTCCGATACTGCGGTATTAGCGGACCTGGGTCCGGAAAGAGTCAGAAGCACCCACAAAGGGTCCTTGGTCGTCCTCTCGATCGTCTATCGTTTGTGAGTGAAGGCTGTTTTTTGTCTTCGACATTATTCGAAAAGTCGATCAAACCAATGTGTCTTGAATGAAACGGACCCATCCTCTGCAGCGACTCGAGCACACTCTCGCATCGCATTTCCGCGCGACGCCCGAAGCCTCTCGCCCCCAAGCTTCATCGAAAGCAGCTTTCATACTCATAAAGATTGGCATTTTGATATCCCGGACTACAAGTGACTAGAAGTTTGTTGTCAATCATCGCCATTTACATGTAGGTAACAATAACAACGGTGCCAGCTCAATATTGTGCCAGGATTCTTTAGTGCAGAACACCGTCGAAAGACAAACCGCGGCGACCAACATACCCTGGGGCCATCTCCCGTTCTCTGTTGGTCTATTGGAAGCCCAAGCAGCCCATCCCTTACGAAATGATATCGGTCCACTATAGAGGGTCTGCTGAACCGCGCTTGAATGTTTTCACCACCATCACACGGTCAGCGACCAAGAGATTGGTTGGCCGCCTGATATCCCACAGAGATGCGACCGAACAATCAGACAATCCCAGAAGCAAACATGGCGATCCCTGGCTGTAACAAAGATAGGGTTCAGTCCCGGAACGGGTTCGCTCGCCCCCAGCCATTGACGTCGAGAAGAATAGAAGGGCGTTCCCCGCACAAGATAGCGTGCTAGAAGTGTGCTGGTAGGTATATCAACATGTGCAAGGGCCGTTCAATCTAGAAGACTTTGCAGCTGTAGATCTGTCGCATCGTCATCGCTTCTTCTGCGTGCACGCGCCGCCGACAGAAAGTCGCGCCGCGCTACGCAACAGTGGTCATGTCTCCCCAAGATCAGATCTCCGAAATGCGAGGCACGAACGATACACTCGTTCTACCCTCATGGTATGGCAGCTTTGCGCTCTGTGCTATAACTCTGCTGTCAATTTGGTACCTCGCGTCGTGGCACCGATTACGACATATCCCAGGTCCTTTCCTTAACTCTCTTTCGATTCTACCTATGCAGCATATGACAAGAGGTGGAAAATTGAGTTTCATGTTGAAAGATCTAGGAGACAAATATGGTAAGACTTTCAAGCGTGCGTCTCGATTCCGCCCAAGCTTACCATAGGCTCTTTAGGACCGCTAGTCCGTGTTGGCCCAAACGAAGTTTTGTTCGGCGATCCAGACACGTACCGCAAGATATCGGCGGTCAGGTCAGACTTCACCAAAGGTCCTTGGTACGCTCTCGCCAAGGTCGTGCCTGACCAGGATAGCCTGTTTTCGATGAGGGACGATGATCTAAGAAAGGAGTACAGAGCCAAGCTGAGTCCTGGTGTATGTAGAAACGTACAACTCGCTAAGTTACATTGAAGCTGACTTTGACTAGTACGCCGGTAGAGAGAATGGCGGCTTTGAGCCTGGTGTTGACAGAATCGTCGCACATTTCGTCAACCTAGTTGAAACTAAATACATCTCGACGCCAAAGGAATTTCGACCCATAGAGTTCTCCCATAAATCTCAATACTTTGCCCTCGACGTCGTCAGCGAGCTTTCTTTCGGAGAAGCGCTAGGATTCCTCGCAAACGATGAAGATTTGTTTGGTTATGTGGCAACCAATGACCTCATCTTTCCGTATCTCGCTGTCATGCTCAATGTACCATGGGTGGGAATTTTCTTGCAACAATGGCCGTTAAACAAGCTTCTACCCTTTTCCAGCGACGAGTTTGGCTTTGGTAAACTTATGGGGTAAGTCAAGAGAACTTACCCTGGCTCTGGATGCGCTGTCTTCAAGCCATCAAGTGTCGACTAACCTGTGGCAGAATGGCCAAGAACCTGGCGGACAAAAAGTTGGCAGCCGCGTCGGATGAGAACAACATGGTCCAACAACACCTTCGCAACGGGGTAACTTACAAAGAGCTCTTGGCGGAGATCTTCCTGGAACTGTAAGCTTGAGCCTCAACGCAGCCTGAACACCTTGAGGTAAGGTAAACTGACAACCGGATAAAGAATCGCGGGCTCCGACTCTACCGCAACGGCAGTCCGCATGACTATGCTCTGTCTGCTCAACACGCCGTCATCGCTAAATGCACTACGCCGCGAGATGGACCAAGGCATTGCCCAAGGCCGCATTAGCTCTCCGATCCGCGACTCCGAGGCCCGCCAACTACCTTACTTGCAGGCCGTGATCAAAGAAGGCATACGCATGTACCCGCCGTCAACGGGCCTCAACTATAAGCAAGTAGCCAAGGGAGGAACAGAGCTGCATGGGCAGTTCTTGCCAGAGGGGACGCAGATGGGTATCAACATTCAAAAGTTGATGAGGTCCAAGGACACATTTGGTTGCGACGCGGATGTGTTTCGGCCAGAGCGCTGGCTGGAAGCCGCCGCTGAAGATGAAGACTGCTTTCGAGACATGTGTGGTGTCGTCGACCTAGCCTTCGGACATGGTCGGTTTCAGTGTCTTGGGAAGACTATCGCGGCTATGGAGTTGAACAAGATCTTCATTGAGGTGAGTTGGCATCACCTTTGAATCCTCAACGTCTGACTTGAAGCGAGAAAGACTAATCGTGATCATGTAAAGCTATTCCGAAGGTTCGATTTCGCGGTGGTGACTCCTCAGGAGCCTCTCAAGCTCTATGATGCTGCTTTCTGGGTCACAACCAATTTCTGGCTACGAGTAGTACCGAGGCCGAGCGAATTTTCCTGATCTGACGTCAAATGCTTTCTAGAGGTTGTCACGGTTTTAAGATATCTCGCTAGCATGCAATTGCGACGCCCAAGATACCCATGTGCCTTTGGTCACTGGAAATGTTGCACAAGAGTTGCTGGGGAAGGATAAATTCTGGATCAAACAACTGAGTATTTAATCGCCGTAATCTCATAGAAAGCCAGCTGAGGAGCGCGTACTCTACAGTATCGCAGAAAGATTATTCGTCAAATAAGGTAACAGCCGTCGCTGCTTGTGCTGATGGACCTCATACGAGACTACATGTACTCTTGTTTGCTCCAAGACTCGGCGGTGAGAAGCTTGACGCTATACCCCAATATTTATACTTTCCCCTCACAAATCCCTGAACATCATCCATGGCACCGGAATAGAGTTTGGCGGCAATCCCGATGCATCCGCTGCCCTTATCGTCTCAATCGCTGGAGGCTCATTCGGGCACGGTAAGATTATCGATACTAATATGGGTCCTGGCGGGAAACGTTCAGCGGTGACATTCTTGGCCAACGTGCCAGACTTCAACATGCGTCAGTCCGAGCATTGTACATAGAAAGTCTGGTTCGTGCGATTCAGTCTTCCATGGTATGTGCTCAAGCCAATAGTTCATCTGACATTCGTCATGTCAATGGCCGTAATCAGAAACCCAATCCAGAACTTCGGGCCGCACCTAATAGGCCTCTCTCAAGCTCAAAAGTCCCCTTGGCAAAGACACTCGTTATCAGTGCAAAGAGAGAGATGGTGTCACTCACGGCACGCAATGGATCCTTCCAAAGGTACCTGAGAAGCCTCAGCGGGATCGGCTTCGGTGTCGTCTTCGGTGACATACGTGACTAGAGCACCCAAGCGCGCTCCCCTCAGAGCGGGGGGGAAGAGAGCTGTCATTGCGGGGAATATCCATTAGCATTTGTTCCCCATGCCGCCCCATGCCAACACCTCAGTCATGTCAACGCGGCATGCCTACTTGTGTGCCATCAGCTTATCCACGGCGAACAAAGCTACCCCGCCGGCATTGCTTGGCATACATCGAATTCTAGCACGAACAAGGCAGGTCGCTCACGTTCCCAAGCAGCTAAGCTCTCTCTTCCACGCCGTCTTACTGCTTGCCGTCGCATCATCGCGTGGATTGGGGTAGACAAAGCTCGAAGTTACCATGTCTCCCCCAGGAATCGGGTCAGCTTCTCCCCAAAGTACCGGGTCTTTGGAGAAAGATATGACGACGTGCGTTCTTACTGCCTTGCCCGCAGACAGCAGGTTCTTCCCAGCCTGCATATCGCCAATGCCATCAGAGCAGGGCGAACAGCACCAGGATGCCAAGCATTATTGCGGGAAAGTCTTGTTTAATGGCATCACCGGCCTTACCGATGACTGATGATTGCTGGGCATATTTTCTGCGATTCCATTGTGGACGGGCTGTCTGCGGGCGAGAGCTATAACTGCGCCTTCCCGTCACCCCTCCCGGAGGCCGAACTTCGGCAGAGACCTTCTTGTTCTCAACATTTCAATACACAATTGAGCTAGATCTATGCCCATTACTCGATAGGATTTTGCCCATCATGCGTTGCAGTCAAGTCTCACTCGCCTTGACCTACGCGGCTCTCGCCTCGGCCTGCCAACGGGACTTCTTTGTCGAGAAGCGGCACACCCACCGCAAGCCCATCACGAAGCGCGCCGACGACGTGTGGCCTCCAGTGCTTACAGAGGAGGAGACTATCTTGGTCAATGCCTTTGACAATGTCACAGTCGACGAGTGGTCAGACTACTACGGTCACCAGGTCAAGCTTGCGGGACTCGGAAAGGAAGCGGCGCAGTGGACGGCAGATCGGTGGACAGAGAACGGTTTCAATGCGCAACTTAAGGAGTACCACGTCTACCTAAGCTATCCTGTTCATGCTTCACTGGATATCTCCTACCCCAATGGCACGACAAACAATGTCAGACTCGATGAGGATGTTCTGGAGGAAGACGATGTGACGGGGAGGGAGGATAGACAACCAACTTTCCACGGTTACTCTGCGTCAGGAAACGTGACTGGTGAATATGTCTACGTTGGGTGAGTGTTCCGCTACCATACCATGTGTGTTGGGCCATGCTCATTATTCATGAAGACGCGGTTCCCAGGCAGACTTTGATCGCCTCGTTGAATTGGGAGTCGAGCTCGAAGGCAAGATCGCACTGGCCAGATACGGCGGGCTCTTCCGTGGCTTGAAGGTCAAGAATGCGCAAGATCACGGCATGATCGGCGCAGTTATTTTCACCGATCCCGGCGATGACGGAAACCAGACCGTTGCGAACGGTTACGAGGCGTATCCCCGTAAGTCTCCCGTTCCATCGAATCAGTACCTCAAAGCAGTGTGATAACCGTATAATGCGCAGACGGACCTGCAAGAAATCCTAGTGCCGTCCAGAAAGGCTCCGTTCTGTTCCTCTCCACTCACCCGGGCGATCCAACCACCCCAGGCTACCCATCCCACGAGGGCGTCGAACGCGCAGACATTTCACCCGTCACGCCCAAAATTCCTTCCATACCAATCTCCTACGCATCTGCCGAGCCCCTGCTGCAGGCTCTTGATGGTTTCGGCGTGTCCGCAGAGGAAGTCAACCGGACTATCTGGGCGGGTGCGTTGAACGCCAACTACAATTCAGGGCCAGCCCCGGGAGTCACCCTGCACCTGGACAACTTGATGGAAGGGAAGATCACGCCTATTTGGAACGTCATTGGCCAAATCAACGGCACCAACGCCGACGAGACGATTGTCATTGGGAACCATCGCGACACCTGGATGATCGGAGGCAACGGAGACCCCAACTCTGGATCCGCCATCTTGGTTGAGTTCACGAAAGCTGTCAACGTTCTTGTATCCAAGGGCTGGAAGCCCAAGAGGAACATGTAAGTCATTGGCCCTCTAGCCGACGGGATGAATACAGACTCTGACTCTTTAGCGTGATCGCGTCCTGGGACGCTGAGGAGTACGGCCTCGTCGGCAGCACTGAATGGGTCGAGGATCATGTCGACTGGCTTACCGAGACAGCCGTGGCGTATCTGAATATTGATGTGGCAGTATCAGGCCCAAGGCCTGCCCTTGCAACCACACCTGAGCTGCAGACCGTCGGCACTGAGATCTTCAAGAAGATCATCTATCCCAACTTTGGCGGCTTCAACATCAGCCTCTACGACGCTTGGCTGGAGTCCTCTGAAGGAATAGTTGAGTCGTTGGGCAGCGGTAGTGACTTTACAGGCTTCTTGCACCGGGGTATCAACTCGGTGAGTACTTACTGAGGGCCAAGAGGCCGCTCTAGACCGCTTCAAGGTAACAACAGCTGACTTGTCCAAGCTCGACGTTGGTTCCAACAATGGCGCGACCGATCCAATCTGGCACTACCACTCCAATTACGACACCTACCACTGGATGGCCAACTTCGGCGACCCAGGCTTCCTCGTCCACGCCGCCATTGGCCAGTACCTCACGCTCCTCGCCTACCACCTCGCCGACGACGAGGTCCTCCCCATTGACGTGCCAAACTACGCCACCGAGCTTCGCGCATACCTCTCTGATCTGGAAGAGTACGCTGAATCCGAGGGCGCCGAGATCGATCTCTCCGAACTCTCCGACGCCATCGAGGTCTTTGCGACGCGGGCCGATGAGGTCAAGGCTTTGGAGCAGCTCGCTGTCACAACGGGCGACGCGGATCTGATCACCGTTGTGAACCACAAGTACCGCGACTTCCAGCGGGGATTCATTAGCCAGGGTGGTTTGCCTGATCGGGAGTTCTACAAGCACGTCATCACTGCTCCGGGCCTGGACACCGGATATGCTGCTGTTTTGTTCCCTGGCATCACTGAAGGCATCCAGTACGGCAAGGGTAACCTCACCGTCGCCGAGGAGTGGGTTTCAAAGACTGCTCGAGGCATCCTGCGGGCTGCCGACATTATCAAAACGTAATGTCTCGACGGACACCCGGTGGGTCTCGCCGTCTCCGGGCTCACGGCGCAGATCGGGCCCAGTTCTCCTGGCCTTTCTCCGACTTGCATATGACATGACGAAATGAAGTCTTAGCTAGAAGAATAATAATTAATCGTAAATCACTTCATTGAGCACAGTCTATACATGTAGAGTTTGATGGTAAGTTCTATTATTGAGATAGCCCTAATATTGAGGCTCGTGTGTGCATCATTCAAGAGTTCCGTGTCAGGGTCGTAAGCACTATGTCACGGCTGTAATTCCTCAAGCCTGATGGTCATCAAATGTCATTCATTGAATCTCGAAACAGCCTAAACTCCAACCCGTCCTTTCCGAATTGATGAAACCGTGTAATCATTCCAACAATACACCCCTACTAAAAGGGTTGTGTTGGATTCCCTAAGAAGCCTGACCTCCAGGTCGCCGCTTCTCGATGTTAAGAACAATGTCAATGAAGCTGCGCTTGAGTGGACTCTTCTTCCTAGCAGCCAGCAATTGCGCAGTCTTGAGGATGTTCTTGATCTGCCGGCCATTGAGCTTCAGTTCAGACAACTCGACGATATCCTCATCAGAAACCTCGCTCTTGAGCGTCGCCCCCTGCAAGAAGTTGCGCCAGATCTGGCAACGCGATTCTGGAGTGAGATCAGGGTACTCTAGCGAAACATGAATGCGCGACTGGAACGCGAGGTCGATGTTGTCGACGCGGTTGGTCGTCATGAAGAGAATACCCTCGTAGTACTCGAGCGTCCTCAGGAAAATGGAGACGACCTTGTTGCGCTCAAGGTCGTGCGTAGAGCGTGCCTCGAGGAAGACGTCGCACTCGTCCAGGAGCAGGATCGCGTTCCATCGCGCCACAAGCTCGAGGATACGCGAGAGGCCATGCTCCACCTCCCATGGCTGCGAGCCCAGATCGCCCGAGCTGAGGGTATGCAACGGGACGCGGAGGTTCTCGGCGACAGCCTCTGCCGTCAGGGTCTTGCCGACACCAGGCGGACCCGAAAGAAGGCAGATGATGCCTTTACCCTTGCCGGAAATGACATCGTCAAAAGTAGACCCATCAAGTTGCGACTCGGAGAAGGCGAGAATCAGTTCCTTCTGATCCTCGGGTAGGACGAGCTTATCAAAGGCGTTTGTGTTCCAGGTGATTTCGGTGACTTGCTCAACGAAGAAGTCGAGCCACTTCTTCAGCTTGAGGGAGTAACCCCTCGTCCGCGACCGCGCCAGCATCTGGTGGTAGGGAGTTAGCTTGAGGTTGCCGTCCTTGCCCAGTCCATGCTGACGCTTCCATGCCGAAAGTGCTTCCATGTCCTTTGCGTTCCAGTCGTCAACGTAGCGGTTGCGGTAGGGGCTGAAGCGGTTGAATGAGTTGATATCAACGACGATGCGGCCTTCGACTTGGACGGGCACCTCGTTGCCCTCGCTGTCCCAGGTGATGGCAGTGCCTGAGTACTGCTTGTAGTTGTGGCCAGCCAGCTCCTCAAAGATCTTGCCGCGCTGGATAAGGCTGGTGCGCAGCTTCTCCTTTTGGGCGTGGAATGCCCAAGGGTAGGCATTGAGGCCGGTGATCTTCTTGGTGCCGAGGAATTCGGAGATGTTGATGCGCTCACCGTAGCGGCCGAACTCCTTGCCGCCGTAGTCAACACAGTCGGCGCGCAGCTGGAGGAACTTTCCGCAGTTATTCTCCATATACTCGGTCTCCTCGAGCTCAAAGGCAGATAGAGGGCCCTTGTGAGCCGAGAGGATGATGGCACCGGGCTGGAAGATCATCCACAGATGCTCGAATGTGATAACGCCCTTTGCAACGTAATCCTCGAATGCCTTGATGGTGTTACCAATTTCGTACTGGAGGATGTCGTGCAGGATAGTGAGGTGCTCCTTGGTGTGTGCATCCAGGTCCTTCTTGCCCATGTACTTGCGAAATTCCGTCCAGCGATGCACAAAGGGGCGGAAGGGAGCGTCGAACTCGAGGCGTTCTAGCTCGCAAGCGACGCCAGTGTAGCCATCCAGGATCACACCCAAGGCCTTCTTCAACCAAGGGCTCTGGACGACGATGGAGTCGGCCTCAAGCTTCTTCCGGCTATCGTTGCTCTTGATGTTGCGCACCACGACGGCGTACTGCTCAGTCTCCTCGTTCTCGGCGGCTTCCTGCACGTCTTCCGGGTACTTGTCTACCCATGTCCAGTTGCCGTCGCTGTCTTTGGCGGACTTGTAGATATTCTTGGTAGAGGCAATTGAGCCGAAGGGAGCCAGAGGCTTTTTGGGCTTCTCCTCCTCGTCCTCTTTCTTCTCCTCGCTATTGGTCTCTACTGACGTCTCGTCTTCCTCGATGGTCTCACCGTTTGTGGTTTCGCCGTTTGACTCTTTGCCATTTGTAGTCGACGTGCCATTCGTCTTTTCTGAGGCTGGGGTCTTGGTCTCCTTGGCCGATTCGTCGACCATCTTAAGGCCGAGGGCCGCCGCTGCCGCTGCTGTTGTGCGTGCCATTGTGAATACTATATTGTTAAGATACAACGGGAGAAAGAGATACTGATGAATTCAATTTTTAATCACGACTTGAGGTTGGTCTTCCGCACATATTTATCTCCATTGCGACACCTTCAGAATGTTACGCGTGCAAAGTGTAAGAAGTCTTTCTTTTGCCATTTCGTCAAACCTGACAGCAAAGCACCAGGCACCACGGCATCGTGCTCTAGTGGCTGCCTCAACAGGGGTCGAATCGGTTGATGCCTTTGATGCGCATGGCATGTGGCAGTGACTCACCCCTGTTCACGGCCCATGGGCTGCCGACTGCGAAACGCAGACGTCTCCGTATGGAACAGAGAGCATGTTGCTGCCTACAATGGGCGGTCCGCCCTAGAAGCGTTGATCGAACGAAGAGGCCAATTTTTGCGGGAGATGTAAGCACTAGAGCGAGATGGGATCCCGCATTTGCAAGGCAGAAGAGCCGCCATGGCACAAAGTTTGTTGTCAGGATTCAGGCCGCCACAACTGGCCGTCTTGCTCATTCGCCGATCTGTGGCAAACAAAATGTCTTTGGTGAATAGACGGTTAACACTGTTTCAATATGCAAAAAGGTTGAGCTTCTACCCAAAAGTCAGAACAACGGTGAGGTGATTCAGTCAACCTACAGAGGCCTCACGAAGGATTCTAGAACAGACCTAGACAACGCTAAAGTCGCGTCAACTCCTGCAGGCAGACGAGCACTGCCTACAGCCCCGATTCTTTCAAGCATTTCTGTTCGCTTCAAGCGAGACGGAGACGGGAAGCACCGATCGCTTGTTCAACCCCTGAAAGGGCTGAGCATCATAGCGTTACAGCGCCACATAAGCAAACAGAATAGCGGGGGAACGAGGCCACTGATAGGGCTAGGATTATTGATTGAGACACGTGTAGCGCGTCCAGTGTTTCCTGTAAGCCTTGCTTGTATCCTGTTCCAGCCACGGCTCTCACATGTGGTGAATAGTGCTGCTAACTTTGAGGCTCGCAACAAACAAGCTACGTTATTGCGCATTGTCTTCCAATGATACTATATTGAATTCAGTCTGCTCCAGCTGTCCCCGTGTATGTACAATTTTCAACTGAGAAAGAGAAACAAAGCCCGAACACAAGCTATAAGTACTGTAAGTATGTACAGAGAACTCAAAACGCTAACCGCTAGCACTTTACTGACCGATCCCAGGTTCCTCAGTTCCTCACGCAGAACCTCCTTGATTCTACTTCCAGCTAGTACTGACCGTGACCGCAGTGGAACAGCTTTGAGGCACAGTGTAGGATCTGTTCGGATCGCTCTCCCATGTCGCGGTCCCATCCGACGCCACATTGATGAACTTGTACTCGAAAGTCGTCCCGGCCGGCAGCGAGACAGTGTAGGTCCACAAGTTATTCGAGCTGGTGTACTGCGCCGCCGAAAGCGCCGGGGCCGATGCCACATTCCAGTTGCCGAGTGCAGCAATGGAACCCGCGACCTTGATTGTCTGGCCTGGAACCGTTTTCACAATTTCATTGAAAGTAACAGCCACAGTACTGGCGATCGCGCAAGTGCCGCTCGTAGCTGTCGCCGCGGCGCTGGTCGTGCGTGTCGAGGACGGCGAAGTGCTTCCCCCACCGCCAATGGCGATGTCGGCGCACGTGAGGTAGACCTGGCCGGTCTGGAACGAGTTCCAGCGCAGCGACAGCAGAGTGTGGTTGGAGACATAGTCGGGAATCTTGATCTTCTTGGTGACTGTGTAGCCGCCGGCGATGGAGGTGTAGCAAGACCCTAGCGCGTTATTGTCGACGCCCTGGCACCCGCGTCGGCTGCTCGCCTGGAACGCGTTGCAGGTGAACCAGTCGTTCCGCCAGCACGCCTGACCGGAGGTGCAATCTGGGCTGTAGTCGCAGCTCTGGCCCGAGACATCGGTGCACTTGAGGGTGCCAGCCTGGAAGCAGTTCTCGGCGGCCTGCTTCTCGTCGTCGGTGGGGAGGTATCCGGGTGTGATGAACTTGTCGACGATGGACTGGTCTTGGCAGATGCGGTAGCTGAACATGCCGCCGTGGTCGCCATTGTTATCGACGCACCACTGGACATCGACGGTCTGGCCGCGAGTGTAGGTCGCGACTGCATTGCTGCCCCAGTTGCTTCCGGGCTGGTTATAGTCGACGCTGACGCGAGCATTGTAGCCGCAGGGACCGCTTCGTCCGACGGTGGCGGCCGTGAGGTCCGGCCAAGCCGAGACGGGCTCCCGGATAGTGCACTCGGGGCAGGAATCTATGCCGGCCTGCCGATGGTCCGTTAGCTCAATGCCGGAGCAGTCTTCGATACTACTTTTGGGTTCTTACCTCATGCCCGAGACGAGTGCGGCTAGACGGGATCGTCAGATATCCATGTCCATAAACAGAGGAGATGAAGGTGGCAACTGCCAAGGTCGTGGATGACTTCATGTTGAATGGCTTGCAGGCGTCCTGTGAGAGGTTTGACCGTTCAAGATATCAACCTACAGCTA